TGAGCCACCCAGGCGCCCCTGCTGGTTCCCCTTTTCAAGCAGGCCACAGTCTCCACCTGCTGCCATAGCACTGGCCCCCGGAAGTGTCTGTGGGCCCAAAGCAGTTGGCCCACAGCCCATCCCAGCCAAGCCAAGGCAGCTTCTCCTAGTCAGGGAAGTGCGGATCCTTACCCTGCTAGCTCCCCAAGAGCCACGCAGAACCTTTCCCTTCCCCAGCCCCTCTTTTGTCAAATACTGTCTTTTGTGGAATTCCAACTGAAAGCAGATTAAAACAGAGCTAGTGCTCTGTTCCCAGTGGGATCTGGCAAGTCCAGAGTCCTCTGCCCCGTTGCCACTGTAGTTGCCCCCTGTAGCACGTCTCTGAAAGCCCAGGGTCAGCAGAACACGTTTTAGAAACCAGCAACTAGCTTTGCTAGCCATTTGCTAGCCTTTGCTTATCTCACAGAACCCTCTCCCAAATGGTGGCCCAAACGAAGCTTCTAATTTGCTCTACCCACCCTGGGAGAAGTGCTCCTCTTCCCATATTCCCCACCCCATGATGCACCCAGGGATGGGGTCAGAACGTTGGCCATCCCCTTGGTTCCTCTTACTCCTCAACTCCACACCAAATGCCCAGGCTGGACAATTTCCTGTCAGGCCTTTTCTTTTTCTTTTTTTAATTTTATTTTATTATGTTATGTTAATCACCATACATTACACCCTTAGTTTTTGATGTAGTGTCCCATGATTCATTGTTTGCGTATAACACCCAGTGCTCCACGCAGTATGTGCCCTCCTTAATACCCATCACCAGGCTAACCCATCCCCCCATCCTCCTCCCCTCTAGAACCCTCAGTTTGTTTCTCAGAGTCCATAGTCTCTCATGGTTCGGCTCCCCCTCCGATTCCCCCATGTCATTCTTCCCTTCCTACCATCTTCTTTTTTTTTTTAACATATATTATTTGTTTCAGAGGTACAGATCCGTGATTCAACAGTCTTACACAATTCACAGTGCTCACCATAGCACATACCCTCCCCAATGTCTATCACCCAGCCACCCCATCCCTCCCACCCCCCACCACTCCAGCAACCCTCAGTTTGTTTCCTGAGATTAAGAATTCCTCATATCAGTGAGGTCATATGATACATGTCTTTCTCTGATTGACTTATTTCGCTCAGCATAACACCCTCCAGTTCCATCCATGTCATTGCAAATGCCAAGATTTCATTCCTTTTGATGGCTGCATGATATTCCATTGTATATATATACACCACATCTTCTTTATCCATTCATCTGTCAATGGACATCTTGGCTCTTTCCATAGTTTGGCTATTGTGGACATTGCTGCTATAAACATCAGGGTGCACGTACCCCTTCGGATCCCTACATTTGTATCTTTGGGGTAAATACCTAGTAGTGCAATTGCTGGATTGTATGGTAGCTCTATTTTAAACTTTTTGAAGAACCTCCATACTGTTTTCCACAGTGGCTGCCCCAGCTTGCATTCCCACCAACAGTGTAGGAGGGTTCCCCTTTCTCCGCATCCCCGCCAACATCTGTCGTTTCCTGACTTGTTAATTTTAGCCATTCTGACTGGTGTGAGGTGGTATCTCATTGAGGTTTTGATTTGGATTTCCCTGATGCCGAGTGATGTTGAGCACTTTTTCATGTGTCTGTGGGCCATTTGGATGTCTTCTTTGGAAAAATGTCTGTCCATGTCTTCTGCCCATTTCTTGATTGGATCATTTGTTCTTTGGGTGTCGAGTTTGATAAGTTCTTTACAGATTTTGGATACTAGCCCTTTATCTGATATGTGATTTGCAAATATCTTCTCCCATTCTGTCGGTTGTCTTTTGGTTTTGTGGACTGTTTCTTTTGCTGTGCAGAAGATTTTTATCTTGATGAGGTCCCAATAGTTCATTTTCCCTTGCCTTTGGCGATGTTTCTAGGAAGAAGTTGCTGTGGCTGAGGTCGAAGAGGTTGCTGCCTGTGTTCTCCTTTAGGATTTTGATGGACTCTGTCAGGTCTTTTCTGTCCCTCCTTGCCTCTCACCTGTGTTCAGTGTTCATGGAGTTTTGTTCCCTAGTAGGGGATAGTCTCAGAAAGTTTCCCTAACAGGAGCCTAAACAGAGAGTGGGCTACCTCTATCCCAAACAATAAAGTCAGTTTCATGAAAGAGATTTGGGCCAGCAGGCCTTTCTGGGATGGGGAAAGTCCCCATGAACCAATAAACCTACTCTCCATGGAGGTAGAGCTGGGACTGCAAGTCTTCATTACAGAGGAGAAACTGGTGAGCCTATGCATCAGTCTCGGGAGCATCTGGGGCCCTGGGCCTTGACAGTCAACCATGCCCTACAATCATCCTCATGTGGCATTTGGCGCAAGTCGCCATCCTGGCTCAGAAGCCAATCTTGCCTCCTCAGTGTCCACAGGATTAAGACCACACTCCACGTCCCCGTGTCCAGACTCTTTTGGAGATTGGTTCTGCTGCCCTTTGCAGCCTCGATTCCCACCAGCCCCTTCGTAGAACCCCCATTCCTGCCAAGCAGGTGAGCTGCACCTACCACCCTCCACATATTTCTGTAGAGGCATCTGAGCCCCAGAGAGGAGAATGCCCACATGGGGCCTCTGCTTCAGAAGAGGCACCCAGAATCCAGCTGCTTCTCACCATCCTGACCACCACCAATCTGGCCTGAGCCACCATCATCTGTCGCATGGATTCCTGCCCTAGCCCCTCAAAAGTCTCCTCCTTCTTTGCTGGCCTTTGAAAACCATAAGGCCATCCTGTTTCTTTTTCTTTTTCTTTTTTGAATCTGTCACTCAAAACCTCACAATGGTTCCCCCCTTTCATTCAGAGTAAAAGGCCAAGGCTGCACACCTTTGGGCCCTACCAAGCTCTCTGGCCTCTCCTTCCTCCGCTTCTCTCCTCACCCAGCTGGAGTCTTCTGCTCCTCAAAATCTGTCAGACACACCCCACCTTAGGGTCTGTGCCCTGGCTGTGCCCTCTGCATGGAGCATTCTCAGTTCAGACATCCACATGGCTCACTTCCTCACCTCTTTCAAGCCTTTGCCCAAATGCCACCTTTCCTGTGTGGCATTCCCTTTTAAAACCGTAAAGCCTGCTCTTCCTGCCTAATTCCTCCTCGCCCCCACTGGCACTCCGGATCCTTCTTACTCTGCTCAAGCTCTTTTTCTTTTTCTCATAGCACTTACTACCTTATAACACACGATAGAATTAGTTAATTAATTAATTTCTATCATCTGTCTTTGCTTAGCAGAATGTAAACTTCGCAAAAGCATGAATTTTTAAAATGTGTTTTGCTCACTGATCTAACTCAGCTGCCTAGAGCAGTCCCTGACATATCCTATGCCTTAAGTAATTATATGTTGCCTCAGGAAACCTTCCCAGTCTTTCGCAATTTCATCCACTTGACTCACAGCACACACCTGGCTGGACTTAGATACTTTCAGACTCACACATGCCCAGAGCACACAGACACATGCTTGGAGATGCTGCTCACTGATGTGGAACTATAACTGTAAGTTGATAGCTAGACATTTTTCCCTTTGTACGTATATATGCACATGCAAAAGCCACATGTACACATGGGCAGGCATGGACTAATCACATTTTTAAAATTAAGGGTTTTTTTTTTTCCTTATTTATTTGTCAGGGAGGTGGGGGAGAGAAAGGGAGCACAAGTAGGGGGAGTGGCAGGCAGAGGAAGAAGGAGAAGCAGGCTCCCTGCCAAGCAAGGAACCTGATGCGGGACTTGATCCCAGGACCCCGGGATCATGACCCGAGCCAAAGGCAGACGCCTAACCGACTGAGCCACCCAGGTGCCCCATAAATTAAGTTTTAATATTGACTTTGAGGCACATTTTTGGCCAAATTCTATTTTAAAAATATTTCCAACCTACAGAATAGTTGAAAGAATTGACCAGTGGACACCCACCACTTAGATTGTACAAATAATGTTTTGCTACATTTGATTTATTGTACATCTATCTATCCATATATTTCTCTGTCCCTCCATCAATACATCTTTTATGCATGTTAGAGTAAATTGTAGCCATCAGCATCCTTTTCCCCTAAATACTTCAGCATTAAGGAGAATTCCATATTTGTTTGCTTTTTAGGTAAAATTGACATGTAGAGAAATGCGCACATCTTAAGTATACTCTTGCTGAGCCTTGACAAATGAGTTTTTGACCTGTGTAACTCAAAGCTCTGTCAAGATGGAGAACATCGTTGTCACCCCCCAAATTTCCATCATGCCCCTTCCTAGTCAATTCGTTAGCATGGGCAACCACCACTCTGATTTTTTCACAATAGATTATTTTTTTGCCTGTTCTGGAATTTCAAGTATGCAGAATAATTTGATAGGTACTCACATTTATTTATTCATTCAACAACAAAAAATTATGCAGCACCTACCCTACGCTCGTAGACATATATCTGATGTCTGTTCACGGGGAGAAATGAGTTCTCTGCAACTGACCAAATGACCAAAGGTATTTCTAGGCATGGCCTCTGGCCTCCTCTCTCCTCCTCTGGAATTGAATTGTCATTGGGAGACCCCCCACACAGCTGGGCCTCATAAACAGAAAGGCAGGCCACTCGGTGGTAGGGCGCCCTGGGCTCCTCGCTGCCCGCCTCTCTCCCCCATCCACTCTGGCTCTGGAGATCCCTCGTCAACCCCAAGCCCTTCCCACTCACTTCCCACACCAGAGCTTCATTCATGTTTCTCTACACATGTGTGCCAGGGGGTGTCACAATCTCGGCCCAGGCTGCACCTAAGTGGGTAAAAGTGCAGGTGAGTAGACAGCTGGAAGGAGGTGGGCAAGCAGAGGTGGCATGTGTCCCTGCCATCAAGTGCAGGGGCGGGGGTGGGGGGTGGAGACTAACGGGGCTGGAGAAGAAAGCATGAAGAGAGGAAACCTCAAAGGCTCCTGAGCAATAGGGGCTGGGAAGCCAAAGGAGCAGCACTTACCTGGAGACCCTGAGACCCTGAGCGTGATGCCCTTGCCCTCCAAGAAGGACCTTAAGATTGCCCTGGAAGTTTTTGCTCTTTTCCAGTGGATCTTGAGTGCCTTTATTATGGGTGAGTCTTCAGCCTTCCGTGGGGTGACCACCTGCCCTGGTATGCCTGGGACTGAGGGGTTTTAGGGTTGAGCAAGGTTTTGATTGCCAAAACCTGGGTTGTCCCAGGCAAATCCCGATGACTGGTCACCTCAGCCTCTCACCTGACTTGCCTGGGAATGGTACTCGTGAATCTCTGAGTGTAGTACACGAGGGTATGTGTGTGTGCACATATGGGCATGTGCCTATGCAGGGGTGCATCTGAGTGTGTGCAAGTAAGCCTTGATGCAAATGTGTATGGTGAGCCCTCCTGGGTCTACACTGGGGCATGCAGGGCATGTTTGGGGAAGATGGGGTGCAGTTCCGCTGAGGATACCCAAGGAAAAGGACTTAGCTACAACCTCATGCCCTTGAACAGGCCATCCATGGGGGAGAGCTGCCTGGTGGCAGCCGGAGGCTCTGAAAGCCCATTGCCCAGAGCAGTTCATCCACTTTCTCCCACTGTCTACACCACAAATACTTTGTGGAAGTTACATATCCACTGGATGCTGTGTTCTGGGTGCTGAAGCAAAGCAGCCCTTTGTGTGTGTCGGTGGGTGGGGGGAGGCTGGAAAAAAATTCTCATTTGTCAGGTGGTCTAGGTGAGGACAAACTGGAGGCAAGGGTACGAACCAAATGACCTTGTTAAGATATCTGGGAAGGGATATCTTAACTAGAGGGGAGGGGGGTGGGGGATGGGTTAGCCCGGTGATGGGTATTAAGGAGGGCACGTTCTGCATGGAGCACTGGGTGTTATGCACAAACAATGAATCATGGAACACTACATCAAACACTAATGATGTAATGTAGGGTGATTAACATAACATAATAAAACAAAACAATGCAAAAAAAAGATATTTGGGAAGAAAGAATGCAGGTAGGTCTTGGGAGTCTGGAGCTTGCCAGTGAATAGGGAGAGTGGGCTAGACGACAGGGAATGGGAGGCTCAGAGACCTGCCTGGAATGGGCACCAGGACCCCTCTGTGCCGAAAAGAGCGGTGTTAACCTAGGAATGATTAGCAGTCAGAGCTGGAAGAGACCAGCAGAAAGGAATTCATATGTATCAGGTACTTTGTACCAGGTATTTTCACACCTATTATTTCCTTGTAGGCTCCTGCCAGCCTTATGAGGTAGAAGCTATCATTATGCATAGTAATATATACTAATAGCTACACACACATAATAAGCACGAACACTCATAATATTAGCTAACATTAATTGCACCCTTTTCTCATGTCAGGCACTGTTCTGAGCCCCTTGTGTGGCTAATAACCTCCATTTGTACAGATGAGGGCGCTGAGGTGCATGAGGCATTAAGTGGTCTGTCCAAGATCACACAGTTGAGGAAGCAGAGGAGCTGGCCTGGGAGTTGAGGCCACAAGGACCCGATTCCAGCCCATGAATCTTGCATCAGCTCATTCACTGCTGATCCTCGAGGCTGGGTCTGGACATGTCCCTGGAGCACATGCTAAGCCAGAGGCATGCTCTAATTTGTAATTGCCTCGTTTTAAATTTCTGTTAACTGCCCATTCTTGACCTTTGCCTGTTTTTCTCCCGAATGAGTTGACTCTTGAAGGGCACATAGGAAGTAGGTGAGGAAGGAGGAGTGTTGAGGTCAGAGAGTGGGTAACCCGAGACAAGGCTAGGAGGAGGGAGAGGATAAAGCATTCAAGGAGCTGCCAGTGGCTAAGTGGGATGAGGGCAAGAGGTCCAGAACTGATGCTCAACACTCATCGAATAAATGAATGGGAGACAGAAGAAAGAGGACGCTGGAGAAGCAGACAGGGGACAATTGTGCAGGGCACTGTCAACTAAGGACAAGCGTTTGGACTTTTTCCTGAGGGCCATGAGGAGCTGTGATAGGGTTTGGCACAGGGCGACAGCTTCAGGTTTGAGTTTTCAAGAGATCACTCTCGCTCTGTATAGCGCACTGGTTATAGGAAGAGGCCATTGCAACCATCCGGGTGAGAGAAGTGATTTGGACCAGACCAGTAGTAACTGGGATGCAGACAAGAGGGGAGAAAAGGGGAGATTGGAAAAATTGGAATAGAATTAATACAGCTTGATGATCAGAAGACATGAGTGAGAGAAATGGAAGAGGCAAGACGGAGGGCTTAGGGCCTGATGTGAGCTGGCAGAGGAGGCTGAAGGAGGAGAGTGGCCGGAAGGAGCAGGAGTACAGGGAGAAAACCGTCCCAGGGAGCCCTTCATTAGAGTCCGACTGTGGGGCGTACAGAGAGGTAGTGTGGAGCAGGCAGAAAGGCTCTAGGCCTGGGCCTCAGGAGATGGGGGTTCTGGTGCCCCCCTCCTCTTGCCAGCTCACGCAGGCCGGGTGGAGCAAATGGTGCCTTGGAGCCTTCCCAGCTCTTCACCTTGTGCGTGGAATCCTATCTCTTTGGGCCCTGAAGGCCTAGAGAGGAGACCCTCACGCTAAGTCTGTGAGGAAGAGAAGGCAGACAGATATTGACAGTGTGAATACCAGTTGGCAGATATGAAGTTCAGCAACTTGTCTGAGCTCACACTCATGGGAAATGGCGGATCCGGGCCTCATCTCACTGCCCAGGCACTCCGCCCGAGGCCACACGGCCTCGCAAGATGTCCCCAACACTGTCTGGGTTGAGCAAAGCCTCGGGGAAACAGGGAGGTCTCTTCTGGACTAGACCCATGCCTCTCTTTTTTTCTCAAAAAAGTCCAATAGTCTTATAAGGAGCACATCGAAAGGCTAAAATGGCTGGTCTTAGATCTGTTCCCTAGAGGCAGCCTCTTTCAACTTTGTTAGCTCTTTCTTCTGGTATTCATCTCCAGGGGTCTACATTTTACTACTTAAAATTTCCTACAGATTACTATGGTATTTCTGACTGAACAACTTAGACGTTGTCACTGACTTCCTGGTATGGAAGATGAGAATTTGGCTCTACGCACTGTTGCTGGATCTTTCCTCTTCCTCCATCCTCTCGAGACTGTGATAGCACAGGTTTTGGTTCAATGCCTATGACTAGGAATATCCCTAGCAGAGCCATTTGGTGTACTGAGAGCATGCTTCTTCGCTTGTTGCAACTTTCTGTTTTCTCTGGAACTCATAGTCGCCTCGTTTTAAATTTTTTTTTGTTATCTATTAGATATCTATTGACTACGAATTCATCTTCAAACTCTCCACAGACACAGTAACCTCTCCGTATGTGTGAACACATCAGGAACCTATAGGTCCTCCCCCGCTGTTATATTTTCTGGAGGGCATGGCTACTGGAGCCCAGCATCCTCCTGTTATGCAACATGGTCTTCTTATGCATGGCTCTCCCTTCCAGGTCCCTGAGGCATCATGGGTGCACAGTTTAAGAAGGTGCTCACTCTCCAGGTTGTGCAAGTGTTGCATCAGTACTTGCTTGACCCCGGGAGTGTTTTCTTAAATTTTGTGTCCTAGGCACCTGGCTTGCTTCACCCTAGCCCTGGCCCTGGTCACTTCCTTCCTTCGTTGGCTCTTTTTGCTCCTCCTGGATCCCATGCCTTCCTCTGTCTTGGTTGACTCCCTTGTCTTGATGGAGCACATCCTCCAGTAGTTTCCTGAGAAATAGACATGGGAGACAAACCATCTGAGACTGTATGTCTGAGATCGTCTTTATTCTCCTTTCGTGCTTGATTAATAATTTGGCTGCATACCGAGTATCTTAGCTGTCTGTGTCTAGTGTTAAGTGTCTGAGGCTAGAGTCTCTCTGGGTCCATTTTGCAGAGAGTAGTCCTCCCACTGTCCAACTGTGTAGGGGAGGGAAGGGGACCTGGAGCTCTAACTACCTCTTTGGTAGACTTTCAGTCAAGCCCCGTGCCTCACACTGCTTTTGTGTCACACCTGCTGGCTCGAGATTCTGAGTCTTTCCCAGATTCTCCAGCACAAACAGGCCTTGCTCTTGTGGCCATTCCCCTGGCGGGTGACCAGGTTTCAATTTTGTTTGTTTGAAGTCAGTTACTCCCTCCTTCATCTACTTTCCAGCATGCAGACATTTTGCTGGTGTCTGTCATCCACTGTTGTTGGTATCTCTCGAATTCCTTTTCTCATTGCAGAGCTGTGTCTTTTAAAACACCCTTAGGGTTGATGTTTATAGCAGCAATGTCCACAATAGCCAAACTGTGGAAAGAGCCAAGATGTCCATTGACAGACGAATGGATAAAGAAGATGTGGTGTATATATACAACGGAATATTATGCAGCCATCAAAAGGAATGAGATCTTGCCATTTGCAACGACATGGATGGAACTGGAGGGTGTTATGCTGAGTGAAATAAGTCAATCAGAGAAAGACATGTATCATATGACCTCACTGATATGAGGAATTCTTAATCTCAGGAAATAAACTGAGGGTTGCTGGAGTGGTGGGGGGTGGGAGGGATGGGGTGGCTGGGTGACAGACATTGGGGAGGGTATGTGCTCACCATAGTGAGTGCTGTGAATTGTGCAAGACTGTTGAATCACAGATCTGTACCTCTGAAACAAATAATACAGTATATGTTAAAAAAAAAGAAGAAGATAGCAGGAGGGGAAGAATGAAGGGGGGGAAATCGGAGGGGGAGCCGAACCATGAGAGACTATGGACTCTGAAAAACAAACTGAGGGTTCTAGAGGGGAAGGGGGTGGGAGGATGGGTTAGCCTGGTGATGGGTATTAAAGAGGGCACATTCTGCATGGAGCACTGGATGTTATACACAAATAATGGATCATGGAACACTACATCAAAAACTAAGGATGTAATGTATGGTGATTAACATAATAAAAAATTAGAAAAATAATAAAACACGGTAATTTTCATGAGCCTTGGCAAGCAGTCAAGATAAAAAAAAAAAAAACTGTGTCTAGTCCGCCATGCTCAATTAGAAGTGTGTCCTGTCTTTTCTAGCCTTTGCTTTTACCCACTTTCTCTCACGCAGTCTTATTCACAGCTGTTTTAAAAATGGAGTCCGGGGGCGCCTGGGTGGCTCAGTTGGTTGGGCGACTGCCTTCGGCTCAGGTCATGATCCTGGAGTCCCTGGATCGAGTCCCGCATCGGGCTCCCTGCTCGGCAGGGAGTCTGCTTCTCCCTCTGACCCTCCCCCCTCTCATGTGCTCTCTCTCTCTCTCTCATTCTCTCTGTCTCAAATAAATAAATAAAATCTTTAAAAAAAAATAAATAAAAACGGAGTCTGGTCATAATTCTGAGTGGGTGTGGCTCCCGAGGACTCGTCTCCATGAGGTTCATCCTAACTACTCTACCCTACAGCACTCCTGTCTTACCGGAGCCTAACACAGCCCAGTACCTTATTGGGTCCCAGCTTGCATTGTCCTTTGTCTCTCAATTGCCAACTTGTGCGCTCCCAGCCTGGCTGAAGTTGGGTCTTCTCTTTCTCTGGTATTCCTTCCACTGATGCCTCGCAGAGAAGATCTGGAGAAGAAAATGTGAGGTGGAGGAAAACCGTTCCTGGCTCCGTCCTTCCCGAACTCCCAGCCTCCGATGGTTAGATTGGAGCGGCCCATCGGTGGCTCCCTGCCATGGAGCACAGCCCAGAACAGGGTCAGAGCAGGTCCTGGGGAGCAGAGGGCTTACTGCATGGGGCACAGCTGCCTTCCAGATCCGAAACAGGGCCCCCAGGACAGAGAGGAGATGGAGGGCTGGGGACAGGTGCTAGGGTGATGAAGTGAGAGTGTTCAGTGAGAGTGTGTGTAACCTTGGGGTGGAGAGCCCCCAGAGGGAGGGCAAGTATGGAGGACTGTTCACAATTCATTAACTCTGGGCTGGGCTCCCTCCAGGAGTCACCGCAGGCTTTGTCAGCCTCTACCTGGTGCTGTTCACGCCCTACTGGCCTGTCACTGTGCTCATTCTCACCTGGCTGGCTTTCGACTGGAAGACCCCCCAGCAAGGTAAGGGCCCCTCTGGGGCTGTGCTGTGACCGGCCACATGCTCTTCTCTCTCTTCTTCTGATAGTCCTAAGAGGCTCTGGGCAATTCCCAGGCAGCCCTTTAGCCTGCCCCTCCCTCCCTCCCTGGGTTAGAGAAGCTGAGGGAAGGGGCCTTTTCAAAATGCTGCAAAGGCCCAGATCAGAACTGGAGTGGGTGAGGGGAAAAGCAGCTAGTAAAGCAGCAAGCTAGGCCTGTCCTAAATTGGCCCTGATGTGACATCGCTCATCCCGGTTGTCACTTCCAAGGCCAGGCAATAGCAGGGGGTGAGGGGCCACCCTGTGGCTGGCCCAAAGGGGCTCTGAAGAAGATGGTGGGGGTGGGCAAAACGTGGCTACCTTGGCTCTGTTTTCAGGTGGCCGCCGGTTAGCCTGTATAAGGAGATGGTGCATATGGAAACACTACTGTGATTACTTTCCTCTCAAGGTGAGTAGGCCCAGGTCCCCCTACTGGGGTCCTGGGCCCAGCCCCAACCCTGGTGCCAGCAGTTGGGCCAGGGTGGAGGTTGGGGGCATCATTCCATTCCCATCGAGACCCATGTGAATGATGCTCCCTGTTGTTGTGTGGTACCCAACTGCCTCGCAGGACATAGCAGCCCTTTCCCTTTCCGGTCTCTGGCTCGAAGAGGAGTACTCCTCTTTGCCTGTACCCGTCCTGACTCCACTCTCCTCCACAGCTTTTGAAGACTCATGATATCTCCCCCAACCACAACTACATCCTTGTGTGCCACCCTCATGGGCTTTTTTCCCACTCATGCTTTGGCCACTTTGCCACAGACACCTCCGGCTTCTCCAAGATCTTTCCTGGTATCACTCCTTATGTGCTCACACTGGGAGTCTTATTCTGGGTGCCGCTTCTCAGAGATTATGTCATGTCTTCAGGTGAGTTGGCCCCTAAGACATAAAGCCAAAGGAAACATGGTTCCCCGAGGGAGAAGTTTTGGGGGAATGGGAGAGAGCAAGGCCAACTCGGTGGTCCTGTCTGGTCTTAGAAAGCTATCTTAGGCTCATCCGCCTGACATGAGGCTCTCCCCTCCTTTGAAGAGGTAGGGAGGAAAGTTAGGAGGTTTGGGAAATGGCCAATGAGCTTTCAGTGTTTTTCTGTTCCACCCCCCGCCCCCCCCGCCCTGACCAGGGGCCTGCTCTGTGAGTCAAGCCTCCATGGACTTTCTGCTCACACATAAAGGCACAGGCAACATGCTGGTTGTGGTGGTTGGTGGCCTGGCTGAGTGCAGATACAGCCTGCCAGGCTCTACCACCCTGGTCTTGAAGAATCGGACTGGCTTTGTACGCATGGCCCTTCGTCATGGGTAAGGACAGCTCTGGTCCAGAATGGGGAGAGGGGCTCCGAAAGCCCAGCATGGAAGGAGTAAGGGATTTTGAGGAAATGATACCTAAAAAGGGAGGTGGAAAACTTCTTCTGTGTTGGAGTAGAGATTGGGCCGGGTCCTCGGGGCATTTTTCCTTATGAGGAGAGGCTCGAGGGCCAGCCCTCGGCTCTTCTCCCTCACCCTAGTGTCTTGTCTGGGCCAGTCCCTCTATAAAAGGCCACTGGCTGCAAGCTCACGTCAGAGAGAACCAAAACTGCTGTGGGGATAAAGGGGAAGAAAACGAAATGAAATGGCTCTTGGGTCTTCTCTGCCAGTGTTTCAGACCCGTGGGTTCGCAGGAGGGTCTGGGACTTGCTTCCTTTAGCTTGCTGCTACTTTGCCTCCACAGGCAGCCTGGGGTAGACAGCGGGGCCCTCACACTTAGCCCGGATCTAGGCCCAGCTAAGTCACGGGCCGAGAAGCCTATAGGCAGACCCAAGGGCCGCTGGTAGTCAGCACATCTGGCCATCGAAGGATATGCCTTTCCTCTGCAGAGTTCCTCTAATCCCTGCCTATGCCTTTGGGGAGACAGACCTCTACGATCAGTACATTTTCACTCCTGGGGGCTTGGTGAATCGCTTCCAGAAGTGGATGCAGCGTATGATACACATCTACCCTTGTGCTTTCTATGGGCGTGGCTTCACGAAGAACTCCTGGGGCCTACTGCCCTATGCCCGGCCTGTAACCACCGTTGGTGAGTGAGCCCGTCCACTAGGAGCCATCTCTAGGATATGGGATCCAGTTCTGGGGCTGGACCTTGGCTCCGGCCATGTCCAGAGACAGAGAGGTGGACTAGGATGAGGGGCATGGTGGGGATAAGGGCGGGGAGACCCTGGGCTTGAGGGCTGAGGCCCATTCGGAGGAGTGAGCTATTCTGATGCTTTCCCCCTCTCCTTCTGTTTCCCCTGGCAGTCGGGAAGCCACTACCACTGCCCAAGATTGAGAACCCGAGCCAGGAGACGGTGGCTAGGTACCACGCACTCTATATCGATGCCCTATGCAAACTCTATGACCAGCATAAGACCAAGTATGGCATCTCAGAGACCCAAGAACTGGTGATCACTTGACAGACATCACCAGCACCTTCTCGGCCTGGCTGGAAGGTGTAGAACCTGTGAAACAGGAGGACTAGTGTCACATGTGGGCCTCCTGCTCCTGATTTGGCGAGTCCTCAATATGAGGCTGTCCTCCAGGCCCCTCTTCTTCCTTCATCTCTCGCTCCCTTCCAGCTCTTCTCTGCCTTTACCTTGGGGCTACAAGGGAAACAACAGCCCCAAAAGGCAGGGAAAGCCCTAGGCGAGAGGTATCCTGAAGTCTCCCTCACGCACGGCCACTCAGCATCAGTACTGAGGAAATAAAGAAAATAATATAGCTCCTCTTCTGATACTGCTTGTGGTCCAACTCATTGGTTTTAAGGGCCTAGGATCCCTGTTCATGGCTTTGCTTCTCTTTCAAGCAGCTCCATCTCCTGGCATCGAGGCTCCCGTGGAACTGGATGCCTTGAGAGCCAGTGCGCTTGGGAGTTCAGGCTCCACCGCCTTCAAGCCATGTGACATGGGACAGTCTGTCATCTCTGAGCCTGAGCTTCCTCACCTGTATCACGGGACCCAGAATCCCTCCCCTGATTACCTCAGAGGCTACTGGGAAGGCCAACGATACTGAATGTGATTGACCTTTGTACATGGGACAGCTACCCCAAATTATCCTCCTCCAATCACTTTGCCCACTTCCTATTCTTGAGCAGACTCTGTCCTCAATTTCACGGCATCTCTATGTTTAAAAGAAAGTGCACAGTGTAAGATCTTGTCAGCAGCTCTTTGAACGTTGAAGTAGCCTTTCTGTAGTTAGGTGACCTTGGGTGAGCTGCTTAAACTTCCCGAGCATTGGTCTCCTCATCCGCAAAATGGGATGATACATCATGGGGAGCTGGAGGCTGCATCTTCCCAAGCTGTTAGGGGCTCAGGCCTGAAACGTCTGTTATGGATTCTGCAGTGTCAGGCTGAGGGAACCTCCACGCTGTGTCTCTGCCTCGGGACAGCAATTCTTTACTGCAGGACCTCTAGCTTACTGGACAGGCAGTGACAGGAAAAGACCTAAGGTGACAGGGATGGGGGCGTGTGTGGTCTGGGACGCAGACAGGATGTGGGAGGTTCTGACAGGAACTTCAGACCTCCTTCCTTTGGTTGCCCCCTCTGAGATGGGTGCCTTGGCCCTTCCCCTAGCTCACGTGCGGCCACACTTGCCAAGAAGCACCTGGCACATAGGAAGTGCTTAAGTCGATTTCGAGAATAGGGGGGAGGAAAAAAGCTTTATTTGCAAAGAACGAACCATTAATTTACACAAACTTACATCCCAGTTTATATACATTATATATAGTTTATATACATAGTATCTCACACTGGATGCCGACCCCCCAAAGCAGCACGAGGCCTGCTCCAGGCCATTCTTACCACAAAGCCACCCCCCCACCCCAGGTGAAAGTTTTTTGAGTCAAGAAATGCCACATCCCGAGTCCCCTTGGAGAGAGCCCCGACAGGAGTTAAAAGAAACAATCTGCTTCCTTCTTTGTGCTCACTGCGGCCTAGGGGAGCCTCTCTGTGGGCAGAGAGGGAGGCTGAGGCAGTGCTGGGTAGCCTCGGGACTTCCTGGTATCGGGCCAGCCCCCAGAGACTTCCAGTCCAGAGACCGGGGCAGGGAGAATGCCTCGGCGGGGGGGTGGGGGGGTGGGGGTGGGGGTGGGAGAGAGTTCTGATGGCTGCAGCAACTCTTTCCCCTGCCTGGCGGGGCTCCTGAAGGGGGCCAAGCACTTCCAGCCTTGAGTTTGGGGGTAGAAGAAAGGAGGGGTCTGTGCGGGACAGAGACCGCTCCACCCCCTCACTCCTTTGAGTCTGCAGGTCAGGGCTCGTTCACCTTGGCCAGGTCACCTTCCCTCTCTGGGCCTCTGGGTCTCGCTCTGAAGGTCCCCGACTCTATTTGCATCCACCGGAAGTTACATAAAACATACATACTTGCCCGGCGATCCAAGTCTCTGTTTGCCTCCAGGGTTCCTAGCCCTTTCTTGCTTAGGCAAAAGGAATTTGGTTCAGGATGGATGAGTGGGGACAGAAGGCAAAGACAACATTTCCCAAGGAACCAGGAGCTGAGCAGCCCCCAACAAATGCCTTTTACGCCGGCCTTGGCTGTTGAAGCCCAAGCAGCTGGCCAAGGCCCCCGCCATGCCATTCTCCTTCAAACCTCTGCCATCTGCTTGCTCACAGATGTCCTCATCTCATTCTCCAAGCTAGCCCCGGCCCTCTGGTGAACTCACGGCAGCGCCATTCCAGACCACATATTTAGTCCCACATCCTCTTGCTAGTAAATTGCTTCACCCCAGCTGTCTGTTGCTTCCTTCCTCGCCTCCTTCCCTCTAGCTCCTTTTGAGGGGTCACAATGAATACAGGGTCCTCTGTGAAACCTAGCCCCCCCATAATCCCCTCCATAGCTGGACCTCAGGATGGGTGTCAGAATGTCCTTTAGGCCTCTCTCTTGGGCCTTTCCTCCATCAGGAGACATCCTGGTAGAACAAGGCTCTCTGTGGGATGGTAGAAAGAGCCAAGGAGTCACTTAGTAGCTGTGGGAAGTGGACCAGCTCCCGTGATCTGTCTGTAGGGTAACCAGCGGAGGCTCTTGCCCGCAGCAGGGGCTCCATACACGACGGGTGGGTGGGAGAGCATTAAGGGGTACCGTTCTGTGGGTACTGGAGGCCTGCTGCTTAGACGTGGTGCCAAGACAATTCTGGCCACAGGAGCTGTTTCCCAAAGAAATGCCCTACTCTTTTTGCCACAAAGCCCCCGGCAGCCAAAAGAACATCAAGGAATTACCATCAAGGAACAAAAACGCACGTGTCTGGGTTTCTCTCTAGGATGCTAAAGGATTTGGGGTCCTTATTCCCATTTTTATTGGTTCTCTCTAGACCGCACATTCAACACAATGCTGCAGCATAATGGAATGGCTTTGGAGGCAGACCTGGCCAAAGCCCCAGGCCTGTGGCTTAAACTGGTTGGGATCCTGGGCAAAGCACTTCACCTCTCGGAGCCTTGTCTACACAATGGGGTTCATAGCATCCTCAGAGGAGATAATGAGAGAGAAAGTACCTTCCAAACCTGAAGGAGAGGATCCCTTCAGTTCTCGCTACAACCGAGGACTATCTAAGGCACTTTCCGGAAGCCTGGGCCAGACACATGCCTCAAGTTCACCCCACCTGGGGTCGCAAGGCTGTCATCAGCAGCCAGATGATGGCGGCATAACCCACCCCTGCTGGCCCAGACCCACCAAGGGCCGAGCATTACAGTTGTTTGGAAAGGGAAGGTACAGTGGAGAAATGAATACCCGTTCTTGGTGGATTTCAGCTGCCCGAAGGGACTTAAACCATCTCCTCCAAAGGAAACTCACTTCGGGAGTGACAGTAGCACACTGTACAACGTTGGCCTTCCCCAGCTTTGGGCTAGACCCAGCATCCAGAAACCAGGCTGGCCCCTGGCAGTGAGAGATAAGGCCCTTGAATGGTCCCACTATATGATCCAGTGGGGAACTTGGGGTCGGGGGGATGGGGTGGGTAAGGTGTTTTTGGACCTGGCTACAGGGCAGAGCCTGGCCCGATGCCTAGCTGCTGGCTTCTCTTGAGCCTGGATTCAGGCAATCAGCACTGGGATCTCTGGTGACTCCGCTATGGCTTTCTGAAGCGAGAGTGAAGAAAGGTGGGTCAGTAGGGCATCGGCTGCTGTCCTTTGGATAGGGCCTAGGCTAATGACCCCTTGGGTCACAGCAAACTTGAGGAAAAAAACCCACCGCCCTATCCCACTTCTTGCCCTTTGGGGGTCAGGCAGAAAAGTTCTGCCTTGCTAATGCCCCGGGGGCAGGCTGGGGTTTGGGAATTTTCGTAGGCTATCGTGGAAGCTGCCTAAATATTCGAATTTGAAGGGACTCCTGGAGGTCATCCAGTCCAACCCTTTGCCCCCAGACACAACTCGACTAGATGAATATTTGTGTTGCTTAATAAACAGAAAAATCTCTTTGCGCCCAGGTCATCGAAAGAGTATCCCAGACTCACACAAGCACAGGTCCCAGGTAAGGCACCTGTCTTAGACAGAGGTAGGCTCTGTGGCAAAAGAAGACAGGAGTTCTGGTCAGGCTGGGAAAGGGGGCAACTGGAAGGGAACCCAGAGATTTTTTCTGAGCGTGGAACATGGCTGTAAACAAAGTGAAAGGCACGTGGCCCCAAGTATGCCTTCAGGTTCTTGGGCAGGCGGAGGCATGGCCATTCCCTGCCACTGCTCCAAGAAGGGCAAACCTCCTGTCCCCCAAAGCCCAGCAAGCTGCCGCGAGGTGGCTCTCAGCCCCAGGGGGAAGAGCAGCCCCCAGCCCCGACCCTCCGGCAGGCTGCAGCGCAGGGCAGCAAGAAGCCTTCCACTACCGAGGATGCCTGCTTGGCAGGTTTCTCCCTGGGTCTCTGCCACCAGCACCCGCCTTTCCCCTCCCCACCCCTCTGCGTAGGCTTCACCACTCCCCTCCCGCCCCACCCTTGCCCCCCAGCTCTACCCAAGAGAGGAACGGCAGCCCCTAAGGGTCAGAGGCTTGCCCCCACGGTCTGGAGTCCACCTTTGCTTTTTCTTGCCTGCTGCCCCGGAAACCCCATGTTAGTGCAAGAAACAATCACTCTGACAACAGGGACCTTGAGGTTGAAGAGTTGAGCCATAAGCCAGTTGACACACGGAGCCAAGGAAGAAGGTCCTCCTTCCTGCAAACTCTGGGGCTCCATCAAACGTCCTGTGAACTCAAGGTCATTCTGGAAAGCCAAGCGGGCCTCATCATCCTGATGAATAAATAGCCCCGGGATATTGATCTCTGTGGCTGCGACACCCATAGCACCTCACTCCACAGCAGCACTGAGAGGTTCTGGGAGTCCCGGCTCCCAACCCTGGGGCAGGGGCACGGGCAGGGACAGAAACGGGGGCGGGGGGAGGGAATCTAGGATGCAGGGGCCTCGCCCAGCCTGATGGCCCCAAAGAAGGTGGTGTGCTTGCTCATATTGATAGAGATGTCGGCATGCACCATCTTCACGGCAATCTTCTGCCGGGCTTTGAGCAGGCAGACCCCCGCGGTGTAGCAAGTGTTGTAGTTGGTCTTGCCCGTCTCGATGCTGCGGGTACACTGCAGGAAGGGCTTCTCGTCCACCACCACCTCGTAGCTGGCAAAGTCGGTGAAGTTGATGTAATAGACCTGGGGTGAGAGGCAACAAGAAGGGATTGGGGGAGAGAGGAAGGGGAGGGTGGGGCCCTTCCCTGCGATGGACAGACAGGACCTTCTCAGACGAGCTGCCCGCACACCTTGTGAAGGGGGGCAGTGCCACCTGAGGGCGTGTGAGTTGGTCAACAGGAAAGGCAAGATGATGGGCTGATCTGCTGCGCTTCCCCCACTCCGTGGGGCTCAGGGGGCTGAGCAAATCTCTTTCCAATAGCACACCGGTTGTCAGCTCTGTGAGGGCAGGAACCAGGCCTTTCTCCCTCCGGTAGCTCTCCCAGCCCCTCCCCTGCCTTCCACCCTGCTCGGCCCGGCTTCGGCAAGAGGCACGGTGCTCTCTGCACACAGTAGGGGCTCAGTCAGTGCTACAGACAAATGGATACAAATTACTTCCCGTGCCGTGCCCCAAGGACTATCTGTGGCTGACGTTGGAAGTTGCTGATTCCCCAGAGAGGGTACGGTAACAACTTGCCATTTCTTCAGCTCTTTAGGGCCGGCCGCTCACTCAGCTTGCAGCTTGCCCTCCCCTGTGACTGAATTTCTCTCCCTGATTTTTGCGGTGCCCCTTGGCCCTCTGATGATTAAGGAAACAGATCTGGAGAGACGGAGTGCTATACACCAGAGATAAGCTAAAGAATTTGGAAGGACAAAACCCAGGCCCCTGACTTTGTGGCCAGAGGGAAGTGCCAACCCATATTCAGTGGCCTGGTTTCAAGGGGGATTTTCCCAGTTTTCACGGTGTTCAAGGCCTGAGGCCACTTCCAATCTATTCTGGGCCCAGAAAATACCCCACCCCAAGCTTTGATTCCCTACTCCCCCTCCCCCCAAAAAAGGACCTTAGGAGAAATGGTCTATAGGACAATGAGATTATACCCATGTGCCCCTTCCCCCATAGGTCATCCTAAATCACTTTATGAAAGGTTGCTCCTCCATAGGCTCTTCGGGAGGGAGTGGTGTATTCAGGTGCCATATGATTTCTTGGGTCAGGACCCAAGCTGTGCCAGGATGCCTGATGGGCTGAGCGAATGCTTGTTAACCCACCTTCTCTGGCCACTCTCCCGTGAGACCCTTCTGTTGGCTACGCAGTCCTTCTGTCCATCCGCCTGCTCACTGCCCACCCCACAGAAGCCCCAACCTCAGGGCTCGTCTAACCTCTAGCTCTGAGGAGCCAACCCAGTGGAGGCAAACAACAGGGGCGGGAGTGGATGGGCAGACCTGGGGAGCAGGCGTGGGGGCAGGACACGGACAGAAACCCAGGGCCAAAAGGGCTGGGAGCATGGTGGCAGGATGGAGGAGGGAATGACAGACACACAGAAAGGTGGACAAGCAAATGGGAGAAAGAGGAAGGAAAGACCGTCAAAAATGGTTTTGAGGTGGAGAGAAAGCCTGCAGGAGCACTATTTAGCATGAAGCTAACGTGCAGGGGAAGCAGCCCTGCAACCGACCCTCCAAGGGTATATACTGACACAGAGATGGAGTTTGGCAGTAGAACCGAACAGCTCCTTGGGGAAACAGGGGCCTGGGGCCCAGCAGGAGGAGATCAGATGGCAGGGTGTGGGAGGGGCCCCTGTGCTGTTTTTTCAAGGATACCTGGCCGTGGGGGGGGGACCCCAACCCAAATAGGCCCTTCTCCCTTTCCTCCTTTCAACTCCCTCCCAGCGTAGTGCCCCCACCCCAGTCCCCTGGAAAGCGGGAAGTTAGCAGGTCTTGGCTGGCTCCACAGTGCCCCTATGTGGCCTGCACCGGATCTGCATTCTGGATATAAGAAGAGTTAGGCCTGAGACCGTACTCACTTCTACCTGACTATAGATGAAGTAGGTGCCGTCCACCAGTACCTCCAGCTCCCCGCTGCGGGGATGTAGCTTAAACACCTTGGGGTTCATGGTGATGCGAGACCAGTCATTGAGCACTCCACCTGAAAGATCTCAGTATGAGAGAAGGGCAGTCACTCAGTACATGTCAGAATAATCTGGGCAATAGAAACAAGAGACATCGAGCGGCATCCCCTCCACCCCACCCCATCCCAGTGTGAAGTGGAGAGCCCCAGAGGCCAAGCTTTAAGAACAGCATTTGGAAGCAGAGAAAGCGTTCTGTTTGTCGAGCAGCTGCCCGGCCTGCCTCAGGCCCCTGGGGTCCAATTGTCTGTCTCCCTCTCTCCTTTCCTGACCCCTCCATCTGGTAGGGTCTTTAACCAACACCTTCTAGCTGGAGTTGGGGGTGAGGGCAAGAAGAGAGTGGGCATGCTGCCCTATTTTCATTGTTGTTCTGGGGCCTGCGCAGGCAAAATTCCGACACTGAGTGGCAGGCTAGGTCTTATTATTCCATTCTATTTCTCTAGCCATAGCTTCTGAATCCCTCCCCTGTGTCTCAGGTTCGTGGGTTTTGTTCTTCTTTCAAGATTCCTTTTTACAGTTCCTTCATGCCCACTCCTTTCTGGAAGGCTTCCCTGCCTCCCCCCTCCCCGGCCCCCGTCCCCCAGGAAACCACTCAGTCCAAGGAATTGTCTACCCGGAGAACCTTAGGGTTCGGGGGTGAGTCAGACTTCACGGCAGCTGGAATGAGTGGTCACCAGTACTAAGGCCCCATAGGAGAGGGGGATCTTTACGAGAGTGAGGGATAGACCACCAAGCAGCACTAAAGCCAGCCCAGGGGCTGGCGAGGGTGTCTGGGAGCCGAGGCACCTCTGGTAAAGCATCTGTCAGCCCAACCCCATTGGGGGCAGAGGGGGAGTCCTACCACCTTTGCTGGACAGTGAGAGCCAGTACGTGAAGGTGGAGGAAAAGCTTCCCTTTCAGTCCTGCAGAAAGAGGGATGTTCCTTCCTACCACTGGAGGAGAGAGTCCAAGCCCTGGGGGCCTTCTCCCCTCAAAACTCTCCATGCTCCACCCAAGAAATTATGTTGTGAATGTCCATCTTTGGCTAGTCTCAGGAGGCCTGCCTCTCGGAGGTGTGAGGAAACTGGCCTTCTGGAATAGGTGGTCATCGTCCCTCGAGGTGATAGTGGGTGGGGACAGGAGTTAGGAAGAGATGCCCTGGCTCAGCCCCTCCAAGTGACTGCTCTGTCCCCCTCCCTTCTGTTTTTGGGGCAACTAAAGATCAGCATAAACTACTCTTGGAGATTGGCCCCGAGGAGTTGGAACCAGTCTTGTTGTGTGGTAGTGGGAGCAAAATCCGTAGCTTCGGGCACAGACTAAGCATGGAGGCCACACGTCCACCCAGACAAGTCTATTTCCTGCCTGTCTCACTGCTCCCTGGACAGAGGGTGATTATGGCCCATCCAGGGCCCCAGGGCCCAAGGCCCCTGGTCCCAGCAGGATGCCTTGGGTTTTTTTCTACTATTCTGTTCCGACTTCTACTTTGGAGGCGATTACATTTCAGGCATCCAAGTGGCAGTCCAGGATGTGGCTAAGCCCAATCATAAGGGCAGCTCAGCACAGCCAGTTTGGGACAGACTGGGCTCTTAGGAGCTGTCCCCATGCATCAGGTTCATCTGATGAACCTTAACCTTCATCTACTGTTTCTGCACTCGGAGCCCCTCCCTTCTGCTCCACGCTCCGTAAGCGTCTGGCATCTTGGCTGGCTTGCTGCTTCCCGAGGCTCCTGGGGGTTCAGGCGTTTTAGGCTGTGTGCACCCTGGGGACTGGACATTATTCCAAAGTGCTGTTCTTTAATGAATGTTCACGTCTCTTCAGGGGAGAAAATGAACCTAATCATTCAGTGGAGTGTACACACAACACTGAAGTAGCCCAGTGCCGTGGAAAGAGACAGACATAGCTTTGAATCCCAGCTCCTGCACTTAACTGAACTCTTGGGCCAGTTAATTTAACTTCTCTGAGCTTCAGTTTCTATTTCTGCAAAAAGGAACTAATAGCTACATCATAGGGTTGTTGTGAGGATCACATGAAATGAAAGACAAGGGGTGCTTGGGTGGTTCAGTCGGTTAAGCATCTGCCTTCGGCTCAGGTCATGATCCCAGGGTCCTGGGATCGAGTCCTGCATCGGGCTCCCTGCTCAGCGGGGAGCCTGCTTCTCCCTCTGCCTCTGCCCCTCCCCCCTGCTCGTGCTCTCTCTCTCTCTCTCAAATAAATGAAATCTTTAAAAAAGACAAAAGAACGCATGTTGAAAACTCCAAAGGACAGTCCAAATATAAGGCAGTATGATTTCTTATGGTATTATCCATTCTCGCTGGGACTCTGGTTCCCCATCTTTTAAAAGCAGGGATTACATTAAGTCAGTTTTCTTTTTTAAAAAAAATTTTATGGCTTCGTCTTGTTTCATTTTTTCCACTCTTCCCCTATGATCCTCTGCCTTGTTTCTCAAATTCCACCTATCAGTGAGATCCTATAATTGTCTTTCTCTAATTGTTAAGCCAGTTTTCTTAACCCCCTTAAACCTGTTTCCCCTTCTTATAGATATTAGCATCTCATACTCCCTGGAGAGTCTGATATGCATCCCCCCCGCCCCGAAATGCTTCCTCCACCCGTTTATTGCGGAGACCCATCAGACAAGAAATTAATTTTCTGTAGTTTTACCTTCTCTAGCTTGTATTGTGAAAATGTTGCTCAAACTACACATATCCCCTTGGTGACGCTGATACAACCTCCACCTGCCAAGAAATCCCTAATTCCGTGATGTCTCAAAGTCCTTTTTGGCTTCCTCATCAGTGATTCTACGTGCAATTTGTGTGTAGCGACCGGTCTAGGTGCAAGCAATTACCCAGGACAGCCAGTAGAGGGCAGACTGCGCAGCGAATGGCCCCCTACCGCCCAGGGTACTCCAAGGGGCCTGGGAGGAGCTAGGCTGGTGACTCTGTGAAGGCTGCCGCCGGCAAGGAAGATGGAGAAGCTCCTCTTAGGGGAGAGAGCCTACTTTGACTCTTACCATTCTTGACTTGAATTGCTGACCCTTGGCCCTGCAGATGCACCACAGCTGGCTGGGAGGATGAGAAGGACAGAGAGAGTAGTCACTGAGAGAAATGGCTGCCCACTCAGCCACCAGTTACCATGTTCCCACCTCTGACTTCCAGTCTGCTTTCATTTCCCAATTCGGATCCCTTTCTCCTGTCCTGGGATGCCAGCGACCACGTCTCTGCAGGTGGCTAATGTGATCTACAGCTCCGCCACTTCCTGGCTACATGACCTCAGCGGAATGCAGTGCCTCAGAGGAGCCTCATTTCCCTGACTGTGAAATGGGGATTTTAAGAATCTCTGTCTGGCCTCTCTTACAGGGATGTTTGAAGATCAAATGAGGCGATGGATGTCAAATTCCCTGCAAGCCATCGAGCACTGTGCAGCTGTGTAGATTTATGACTGCGGCCAAACAGCTGTAGTGAGGGAGGGAGGCTGAGATGAGAGAAGGCAAGGCCACAGAACTTGCCAATACAGACAGATTAGGAGGCTCAAAGACAGGGAGGAGCCCTTCAGGCCCTGAAGGCAGAAGCCCAGGCTGGGTTCGGCCTGGAGCTGGTTGGCTGATTTTCAAGCTCCTGATCCCAGGCAGTCTGAGTGCCGACAAGGTGTCTGGTGTGGTTGCGAAGTCGGAGGCTCAGGTGGATAGGCCTGACTGGCAGCTCATTTCAGGGGACGACTGAGCTTGGATATGGTGACCTTCTGTCTTCTGTGCAATGGGGAAAAATGGAAAAATGGCCGTGGCAAGACTGAGTTAAAGGCAGGCCCTGAGGCAAAGCTTTTCTATTCCTAGAGATGGGAGTGAGCAACTTCGGGACCTCTGGGGCATCCTCACAAAACAAAGCCTCAGCAAATTTAATCGGGAGCCACTAGAAGGTGGTTCTAGCCTGGTGGCCTTCCCTCCTCCCCAGGAAGAGAACAATTCCCAGCCAACCTGGTTTTCTCGAGGTCCAGCTTTATCAGCAGCACCTGCAAAATAGGACAGGGCAATCAGAGGGCATACTCCTTCTTCCCTTTCTCTCCTCAGCTAGTCAGCGAGTGGCGGTGAGCCTGGCTCTGGGCAGCCAAGCCCTGGGAGGATGGGAGAGGATACTACTTCCCTTCTCTGACTCCTCCCTGACCTGCCTCTTCAGTGGGCCCAGCGTCCAGCAGGGACAGTGGCCTCTCACTAACGTGGGCCCCAAGGCGAGCCTCACCGAGCCCCCCATAGAGATAGAGGAGAGTGCGTTCCTGCCACTATGGGATCCTGAGACAGTGCCGTTTGCTTCTTTAGTCTTTCGCTCCCTTTCTTTCATGGTCTTCATAGACAGCATTGCCATTTGTAAATATCTTGCTTCTTTGATCATCTCTCTCCTCCCCTGGGACACAAACTCCATGAGAACAGGGGCCACTTATCGATATATCTCTTGCACACAGAAAGTGCTCAGTATCTGTGGAAAGATTGGGATACAAAACAAAACAAAACAAAAAAACCCCAAAAAACAAAAAAACAAAACCCATCCTCTAACTCCATCTCTTACGGTCACAGTAATGCTGATTAGCCCCATTTGAACTATGAGTCAAAGGATCTGAGTCCAGCTACAGAATTTTTGGACCTAGAGAAATCAGCTGTGTAAAGAGTCCATTTCCTTGAAGCCCCAAGATCCAAGAAGGGAGCAGGAGGAGGAAATAACAACAGACCTAAGCTCTGGCAGCCTGACTCCTGTCAGTTCCAATCAGGCAGGTTTGGATTGGCATCTGTACCTTTTGGATGCCCGCCTGGACCCAAGAGGAACGATGCAAACAGATTCAGTGCTATTTGAACGTGCAATGTGGTGGCATGAGGCACTTGGCTCCTCAGTCTTAGCGACTGCATTTGCTTCTTCCCCAGCCCCGGTGACTTGTAAGTTTCCAACTCCCTGGTCACCAGCGACTATTTGTCTACCTCTATGGGAAAGGCACTTCAGAGTTCATGGGATGAGACTGTTCTAAGGCTTGTCATTTCTCCCAGTCCCCAACCTTCCTCTCCATAGCCTGTTTCCAATCAGACATAAACATGCAGTGCTAGATGCTGGAAATCAGTGCAAACCAAATCCATCCCCCACTGGAGATCTAGTGTAAACCCTCCAGGGCCTCTGGCTCTGGCTCTGGCTCATGGGAGTTTACTGGCTCACTACAGGAAGGCCTAGAGTCAGGCAGGTCTTTGTGATGGAAAGGTCAAGAGCAGGTGGCCTGTCCTTGACAGGTTGGTATACACAAGAAGTTAGAGTAGGTCAGGCCCTACTGGCTTGCTCAAGTTCTAGCTCTCCACTGAGCTAGGAGACCTGCTTTTCTTATTGCTCACCAAAGCCATGACTGCCATCGGAAACTGCTCTCAGGATCACCCACACCTGCTCTTGTCAAGTACTTGCAAGGAGCCTAGGGGCAGGTGGAGAGACAGAGGAACTCACCAGAAGGTCCCTGTAGGCCAGGGGGTCCCTGAGGACCAGGCGGACCTGGAGGGCCAGGTGGTCCCATCACAGTTGTTCCTGGAATTCCAGGAATTCCTGGAATACCTGGGGGTCCCTGGGGTCCTGGAGGTCCTGGAGGTCCCGGAGGGCCATTGGGCCCAGGAGGTCCTGCCTTCTTTCCTAAAAGACAAGATTCAGTGTTACATTTGTAGTCATTGACTGATAACAAACATATTGTCAGGAGTTCTCCAGATTTCCAAGGACACGAAGTCAGCCCTTTGAGAATTCTGGCTGTTAAAGAGGTGAACACCTCTATTATACAACACACACACACAAACACACACACTCTCCCTATCCCCTTTCATGAATAATTACTTCCAGAGCTGGTTTGAAGATATAGAAATAAATGACCCTCAAGGAGCTCAGTCTACTGGGGAAACAGACAGTCACAGGAGAGTCTAAGTGCCATATGAGTAGTAGGGACAAAATGCTTAAGAGGTCAGAGAAGGTTTCAAAAAGGAGGTTACCTTTCAGCCAAGTCCAAAAGATTAGAATTACCGGACCCGTGGGTCACTTTTTTGAATTGAGCATTGGGCTATCGTTGGAGAGTGTGGCTTTCATGTTTACCGCCCAGTTTGGAGGACTTGATGCAGATAAGAGGGAGCTAGGAGGACAGCCTGACCCTGGGCATAATATCAACACCAGGAACCCAACTTCCTATAGAAGTTGGGATGAGGGGCGCCTGGGTGGCTCAGTCGTTGAGCTTCTGCCTTCAGCTCAGGTCAAGATCCCAGGGTCCTGGGATCGAGCCCTGCATCGGGCTCCCTGCTCTGTGGGGAACCTGCTTCTCCCTCTCCCACTCCCCCTGCTTGTGTTCCCTCTCTCGCTGTGTCTCTCTCTGTGTCAAATAAATAAATAAAAATAATTAAAAAGAAAGAAGTCGGGATGTATAGGAACTAGGGGTTGGTACAGAGGTGGTGGTAGCCGGGAATGAGGAATGGAAGGAATTTGGGAGATGAGAGGTGGGGGGAGCATGGGGGGGAGAGGGAGGCAGGGATGGGGAGAGAGAGAGAGGGAGAGAGATTGAAGGAAAGAAGGGGAGGTGGAGAGTAGAAAAAGCTGAGGAGGCAGTTGGCAGGTTTTTGCTTTCTCAGCTGACCTCTCTAAACCCTATTTTTAAAGATCTCTGGGAAAGGCAATTCTGTAAACTCCCTTGGTAACATGTTCCTGTGTTTATCACCCCCTCACTGTTAGGAAGATCTTCCGTATATTTAGCTGAAATCCCTCCTGTGGCAATTTAAGCTTCTATGCTATTCTTTGTGAAGCTAGAGAAGAATAGTTACCATCATACACATAATAACCCTCATATGCTCATAGACATTAAGTCACCTATCCAACCTCCATTTTTATAGGCTGAATAATCCGGCTTCCCAGAATCTTTCCTCTGAGGCCCTATTCTCCAATGTATTATTAATTAAGCCCACCAACTCCTCCCTTTTTTGCTATCTTTTCAGAACAATCCTGGCCCTTCTATTCCATATTCCAGTCCTTCCAACATTCTCACCAGGATGTAGCTATTTGACTGAGTCATAACTGTGGTCTTGTACCAAAACCCGCAGCTCCTGTTTACTTCCTCTGCTCTGTGCAGCCCAATTCACGCACTGCAGGTGGCCAGAGGGAGGGGGGTGTCTTCTTCCCTTCACTACTTTCTCACAATCTTTGGAAATCCCAGGTATAGAAGGCTTCGACCAGACTCCACGACAGTATCTCCACCCGCGGTACTGTCTTAGTTTTACATGTAACCCTCTTAAGTCTCACTTAAATACCCCCTTAACAACTCTGACTCCTTGCTCCCCAGCCTCTTAAGCAGGAGAATCCTGACCTGATTTATCAGGCCCTCCTTTACAAATAATGCCTCATGGTCCAGAAACTCAATCCCCATGGCAATGCCATTCAAGAGGCCAGTTGTCCATGTCCAACCACATCTGTGTTTGGTATGAAACAGTGGGGTCATTGTGGGGCTCCTGCCCCAGGGATACTCCCTGTAGCCTTAAAGACCTAGAGGCAGGAAGGAACGTTAGCATTTTCCCTGTGCATAGCAGCAGCAAAAGATTGGATCTGCCCAGTTTCTAGATTAGCCAATTTCAAGAGGCTGAACAGGAAAGCCATCTCCCTTCAGATTTGGGCAGCTTCCAAGTCAGGCTCATTCAGTGCCCAAGTTTCAATTCCAGCTAGAGCAGTGGAAAGAACACAAAATCTGTAGTCAGGAGATAAGGCTGTAAGCCCCAGCTCTGCCATGGATGTACTCTGGGCAAATCCCTTTCTCTCCCTGAGCCTTAGTTTCTCCATTGGTGAAATGAGGAGTTTGGCCTTGATGATTTCTGTTTCCTCCCAAGCTTGAGGTTCCATAAGGAAGATTGACTTACCCCTGGCAGTCAGGAAACTTCCTTAGGCTGGTTGTGAGTTTTGCTTCTCCCTCATCTTCCTCTGTGTCTACTGGCATAGGCACAGAGGAAGGTGCATATTAGACTGTTCCATGTCCCAGAATTTCCAGGCATAACTGATTTTGAAGCTAGAGGATGTTCCGTGGGTAGTACAAACTTCAGTGTCAAGACTGTGACTCTCCTGTGATCGCTAATGTAATTTTGGAAGAATTACAGCCAGAAACTCCTCTAGTCAAAGAGAATAATGGTTGCAGCATAAACAGAGGATGTTCACTTATGAAAATGTTAGGAGGCATTTGGGAAAAAGCTCCTGCTGTGCTCTAGTTCTGCAGCTGGTCCTCTTTGCTCCTCTGTAACTCGGTTTAGGCAAGTGTGCTTCTCAAACTTGCATACTTACAGAAAGTTGGCCCAGAGAGGAACATGTACAAAATGACCCCTGGACAAGAGGATGACTTTAGAGGATTGAATTCCTTCTCCAGATCTCCTTACTTTAACAGAACACTTCATGATACAAAAGCCCGGAGACTTCTCTACTTAGAAAATTATCCAGTGCAGTCTTAGGTGACAGAATGTTCACATTCTTTTCAAAGCTAAACTTCGTAAAAGGGGCATTTCCCTAACCTTTTAGTGAAGGCCAAACTGTTGAAAGAACAAATAAAAACAAGTGAATGAAAGTGAGGGTGGGGGGGGGAGGGAGAGGGAGGGAGAGAGAGGGAATGAACATGAGCAAGTTAGTTGTAGGAGGGGAAAATTCTATTAAAGATGGAAATTAAATGAACAACTCAATTTACCTCTTCAGGCATGTGCCTATTCACTGTGTCCAACGAAATCTGTATTAAATGGCTTCTAAATCACTTAGAGTCAAAGTAAATGTTTAAGGCCTATGTGCATCCTCCTTCTAATAATGGCTCATATACCAGGTAGCAGTGCTGGGCAGTGATCCGAGTCCCTGCCAGAGGCATTGGATTCTCTGAATTGTAATCACAGGGCTTCTAGCCTAGACAATTGTCTTCTGTCATCACTAGCAAGTATGTTCTCTCAGTGCTCACTCATTGAATAACACTACAACTGGGTGTCATTCCCTACCACACAGATGACCCACACTTTGGTACATCACTAGCCTACTTGCTGTTCCCCCAAACAGGCCATGTTCTTTCATGCTTCTGAGGGATTTGAGTATGCTGTTCCCTTTGCTGGAATGTCCTTCCCCCTCCTTTCCCCCCCCACCCCATCCTTCAAAGCCCAGGTTAAATACTGTGTTTTTTTCTTTTTCCCCTGAGATGTGGTTCCTCATTCCCCCAGGGAGAACTACTTGCTCTTTCTTTGTGCTCCCACAGCATGCTGTTCATGCTTCTATGACAGCATTTTTGATGCCGTACTGTAATGATTTGTGTGCACTTCCATGATTCCGGCTACACTGGGATCATGGAAAAAAAAAGATAAAGAAAAGTGGTGCTTTTCTTTATCTCGGTATCTCTATTCCTAACAAATATAAGATGCTTATTCACTGTCTAGTGACTGAGTGAAAAGAAAAAAAAAAAACTAGTTGCTATAATTAGAAAGTGTTCCCAAGTCTACCTATTAAGAAGGGAAGTCACCTGTGGACTTGTTTAGGAGCAGAGGGTGTCCTTGTCAAAGCCAGGTGAGCTTTCTAGGTTTATTATAATTTCCATTTTAAAGGGGATGTGATAAAAGTTCAAAATAACATGCTTGATAGAGTAATCAAAACAGGATGGTACCAGCACAAAAATAGACACATAGATCAATAGAACAGAATAGAAAACCCAGAAGTGAATCCACAATTAATCTTTGACAAAGCAGGAAAAAAATATCCAATCAGAAAAAGACAGTCTCTTCAACAAATGGTGTTGGGAAAACTGGACAGCTACATGCATAAGAATGAAACTGGACCACTTTCTTACACCATACACAAAAACAAATTCAAAATGGATTAAGGACTTAAATGTGAGACCCGAGGGGCGCCTGGGTGGCTCAGATGGTTGAGCGTCTGCCTTCGGCTCAGGTCATGATTCCAGGGTCCTGGGATCGAGCCCTACATTGGGCTCCCGGCTCCGCAGGGAGCCTGCTTCTCTCTCTCCCTCTGTCTCCCCTCCTGCTCATGCTCTCTCTCTCTATCTCTGTGTCTCAAATGAATAAATAAAAATCTTAAAAAAAAATGTGAGACCTGAAACCATAAAAATCCTACAAGAGAACACAGGCAGTAACTTCCTTGACATTGGCCATAGCAACATCTCTCTAGATATGTCTCCTGAGGAAAGGGAAACAAAAAATACACTATTGGAACTACTTCATAATAAGAAGCTTCTGCAAAGCAAAGGAAACAATCAATAAAACTAAAAGGCAACCTACAGAATGGGAGAAGATATTTGCAAATGACAAATCTGATAAAGGGTTAGTATCTAAAAATCTATAAAGAACTTTTCAAAGGCAATACCCTCAAAACAAATAGTCCAATTAAAAAATGGGCAGAAGACATGAATAGACACTTTTCCAAAGAAAACATACAGATGGCCAGCAGACACATGAAAAGATGCTCAACATCACTTATCATCAGGAAATGCAAATCAAAACAATAATGAGATATCACCTCACACCTGTTAGAATGGCTAACAGCAACAACACAAGAAACAACAGGTATTGGCAAGAATTTGGAGAAAGGGGAACCCTCTTGCCCTGTTGGTGGGAATGCAAACTGGTACAGCCACTCTGGAAAACAGTGTGGAGATTCCTCAAAAAGTTAAAAATAGAACTGTCCTGCAATCCAGGAGTTGTACTACTAGATATTCACCAAAGGATACAAAAATGCTAATTCAAAGGACTACATGCACCCTGATGTTTATAGCAGCAGTATCTACACTAGCCAAGTTATGGAAATAGGCCACGTGGCCATTGGCTGATGAACTGAGAAATAAGATGTGGCATATATATACAATGGAATATTGCTCAGCCATAAAAATGCATCCATTGCAATATCATGGATGGAGGTAGAGAGTATTACGCTAAGTGAAATAAGTCAGTCACAGAAAGACAAATACCATATGATTTCACTCATATGTGGAATTTAAGGAAAAAAAAGTGAGCAAATGGGAAGAGAGAGAGGGAGAGAGAGAGAGAAACCAAGAAACAGACTCTTAACTATAGTCAACGAGCTGATGGTTACCAGAGGGGAGGAGATGGGAGGATGGGTGAAATAGGTGATGGGGATTAAGGAGTATACTTGTCATGATGAGCACTGGGTGATGTGTGGAATTACTGAAGCACTATATTGTACACCTGAAACTAATATAACACTGTATGTTAACTGGAATTAAAATACAAACTTAAAAAAAAGAAATGATCTATCAAGCCATGAGAAGACATGGAGGAACTTAAATGCGTATCACTCAGTGAAAGAAGCCAATCTCAAAGGCTACATACTGACATTTGGGAAAAGGCAAAACTAAAAAGATAATAGAAAGATCAGTGGTGGGGGACACCTGGGTGGCTCAGCTGGTTAACTGGCTGCCTTTGGCTCAGGTCATGATCCTAAGGTCCTGGGATTGAGTCCTGCATCTGGCTCCTTGCTCAGTGAGGAGCTTGCTTCTCCCTCTGCTTGCCACTCCCCCTGCTTGTGCTCTCTCTCTTTTCTCTCTCTGATGAGTAAATAAATAAAATCTTAAAAAAAAAAGGAAGATCAATGGTAGGATGCCTGGGTGGCTCAGTTGGTTAAGCATCTGTCTTCAGCTCAGGTCAAGATCCCAGGGTCCTGGGATTGAGTCCCACATCAGGCTCCTTGCTCAGTGAGGAACTTGCTTCTCCCTCTGCTTGCCACTCCCCCTGCTTGTGCTCTCTCTCCTTTCTCTCTCTGATGAATAAATAAATAAAATCTTTTTTTTTTTTTTTTTAAAGAAAGATCAGTGGTGGGATGCCTGGGTGGCTCAATCAGTTAAGTGTCTGTCTTCAGCTCAGGTCAAGATCCCAGGGTCCTGGGATGGAGTCCCGCATCGGGCTCCTTGCTCAGTGAGGAGCCTGCTTCTCCTTCTGCTTGCCACTCCCCCTGCTTGTGCTCTCTTTCTCTCTCTGACAAATAAATAAAGTCTTAAAAAAGAGAAAGATCAGTGGTTGCCAGGGGCTAGGGGGAGACAATGAGGAATAAGCAAAGTAGAGATGGTTTTTAGGGCAGTGAAACTATTTTGCAAATACTGTAATCTATGGGAATCTATGTCACTATGCATTTGTCAAAACCCATAGACTGTACAGCACCAAGATGAAGCCTAATGTTAACTACGTACTTTGAGTGATAATGATATATCAATGGAGGTTCATCAGTTGTAACAAATGTACTACTCTGGTGCGAGATGTTGATGGTGGGGGAGGCTGTCCATGTGTGGGGCAGGGGATATATGGGAACACTCTGTACTTTCCTCTCAATTTTGTTGTGAACCTAAAACTGCTCTCAAAAACAAACTATTAGGGGCGCCTGGGTGGCTCAGTCGTTAAGTGTCTGCCCTTGGCTCAGGTCGTGGTCCCGGGGTCCTGGGATCGAGCCCCGCATCGGGCTCCCTGCTCAGCGGGAAGCCTGCTTCTCCCTCTCCCACTCCCCCTGCTTGTGTTCCTTCTCTCGCTGTGTCTCCCTCTGTCAAATAAATAAATAAAATCTTAAAAAAATAAAAGAAATAAAAAACAAACTATTAGAAAAAAACCGAAATGCTTAAAAATCAAATTTACTTTCTTAAATACATAATATTTTGGTGAATGCCCAGGCCCAGTGGAGAAAGTTTTCCTCATTGACCCCAGCTTTCTGGCTGTTTTCCAACTTTGCTCAGATCAGGTCCTCAGGAGGCCAGGCCATTCCTCAGCTTCTTTACAACAGGGACATAAGTTTTCCATGTGGGCCTTGGTACTGCAAGTCACCAGACTACCCTAGTGCTCAGAGAAGTGGCAGGCCACAACTGAAGCCAGTCTCTTTGGTCTACTCTGCGATTGATAATCTATTCTATAAAGCCCCAGAAATCTTAACAGAATCATTTTACTTAAAGCATTTTATTTTTTAAAAGATTTTCTTTACTTATTTGAGAGAGAGAGAGAGAGAAAGAGAGAGAGAGAGTGAGTGAGTGCAGGAGCATGGGGGAGGGGCAGAGGGAGAGGAAGAAACAGACTCCCTGATGAGCAGGGAGCCAGTGGCCAGGTTTGATCCCAGGACCCCAGGATCATGACCTGAGCCGGGGGCAGACACTTAACTGATTGAGCCACCCAGGTACCCCTACTTAAAGCATTCAAATGAAAAATCATTAATTTCACTTTATTTTCTTTACAGGTCAGAGCACAGAAACAAATAGTTACTTAAAACTGGTTTTGTAGTTGGCTTCTTTTTTCAGTCCTAAGGAGTGGACCATATTGCCTAATTCTGTCTTTTGGAACTTGTTCTGGTTTTGGGTTCTCCTCTTCAACTATGCAAGTGCTTGTACAAGTTCTTGGGCCAGTCCTGTTGCAAGTATATCAGAAACATAATGACCCAACAATGGCACAATGGATCTGCTCAACCAGAAGCTTCTTTGAAAGGACCAAAAGATCAGGGTATTCCTTCAGCTTTCTTTTTCCATCACAGAGAAAATGATATTGAAACCACAAAGTAAGAAATACCCTCCCTGACTAAGGCATAGGATAGGGATAGCTTTAAGGCCAAGAATAGGGTACTGACATTTCTCAGGAGGTAGTACACCTCGTCCCCACAAGCTGTCTTAGGACTTAATTTATACATGATCAATGATTTGATAAAGGAGGGCAAAGAAAGGAAGAAGGAGAAGGACAGGGGAAAGAGTAAGGAAGGATGAAGGAAAGAGATGTAAATTTAATTGTACAAAAGAGGGAGCAAGAAAGAAAAATAAAAACAACTTTCATATGCAGCTAGAGAAGCACTTTCATGGATCATCACTGAAAAACAAATCTCTATTTCTTGTCTCATGGAAGCTACCATACTCAAGGTCACAGGCGATTGAATAAAACAATGGACAACCAACATTGAAAGAATATATAAATATCCTACTCCCTTGGTTTTTTTCCTTCTAATTTTAGAAAAGACATGAGAACAATTTTATAAAATCAGGAGCTTAACTCACCCTTTTTCTTGTTTTTAACTGGACCTGTTAAAAAAGAAAAGGGAAAATTAAGTCACTGGAAATTAACAGAAAGTGTTTATTCTCCAAGACAGTCATAGGAGAAACTCCCAAGACACTGCAGATTTTGAGGGAGGCCCACACCAAGGGTCAGGTCATTGGCAAGGTATCTCCCAACTATCAGACCTCTCCAGTCTGTTTCTATTTTTTGAGCGTTGTAACAAGAATGTCACAAGAAGGATTCTTCCTTAGAAAACCCTTTCAGTCTCAGTCTTTGTAGTGAGGGAATGGTTACTTCTTCATAGAGATGAAATGCCCATAAACGCAGAACTCAACAACCTTAGGACGGCATTCCATTAATTCTGCGAGTCCTGAGATTGAAGAGTCATGCATTCAGGTGAAGAACCGATATGAAGTCTCCTGCATTGAAGCTGAATGGAAAAGAGGGTCATTTTCATGGAAGGAGCAGAAGTAGCAGCAGGTGACTTTTTAGTCACTTACTGTGATTTAAATTGTTAGTTATTAAAACTGTGTGATCATAATACATTCATGTGGGTACCACATGCACTCCCATTGTAATTGACTATAAGTTAACAGACACTTTTAAAAGAAGTGCCAACAGTTTCACTGACAATGAAATCACAGGCATTTTCTTGGAAATTCCTTCTAAAGAAAACAATTCTAATCGACTGAGGACACTCAGAAAACCCAAGGCTTTTGTTACATGGTTAGGTGACAACCACTCCCCCCCCACACACAATTTAGGTATCTCCCACGCATGTTTTCCCCTCCTGGAGACCCAATTCTCTTCATTCTGTAGGTGGACTTGATTTTCTTTAGATACAGGTGTTTAAAATCTGTTCCAAACTCCCATGAAGACACTCTTGGACATTAAACCATTGTCAGTGTCCTCAGGAACTTAAGAACACCAAGCATTGTATATTGTTTTATAACCCATAAGACCTACTTATTTCCATTTATCATCTTGTTTTATCCTTACAACAAGCCTAGAATGATCTTTACCTATAAGAGCAGGCTCTATCTGGAGTCAACAGTCTCTCACCTGGAGGACTGCCAGTGTGGCCGTCAGAGCTTGCATAGGTCCCTTGAAAACCAATGTCTGCGTAGACTTCCCTTGCAAAATAATTTTAGTTTCATAATTTCCCTGCTAAATTTCACGGGTAACAGTAGGTATTATTATGGGCATGGGATGTTTTAGGTTGGGTTCAGCAACCTGCCGCACTTAAGGTCATAAGTCCCCACTCTTTTATCCTCGTTTTCCATCCTTTTTCTTCCTCTCAGTCCTTTGTCTTCTTCCTTTGCTGCTTATCCTTTATGTTTTTAATGGCATTGAGAGCTCTTGATAATGTGCATGGAGGTTCTGGCAAGGAAACACAGCTGCACAAATACTACAAAGAGGGAGCAACTCAACATGAGAAGGGCCACCTCTTTGACCAAAAAAAAAAAAAAAAAAAAAAAGCTATTTGAGGAAGGGTTTACCCAGAAAGGCCCAGGCCCATCAGCCAGCTACCGGCCAGTGAGTCAGCCACCTCTGCCTGGCAGAGCAGTGGGGTGGTAGACAGTGCGGCAAGTTGTGCTAGCCCTCGGTAAGTTTCTGATCATTTCCGCCGCCTAAAGGGTTAGCACTGTTACAGCACACTTCAAAGCAGGTTTTGAGGAAATCAGACCACAAGCAACCAGTCTTCACCAAACATGTCTATGGAAGGCAGCAAGGTAAATAATGAAACACAACTCTATCCTAAAAGAACTCGCAGTTGGATACAAAAATATGCAAGAGGGGAGACAAGGAATTATATTGGCTATTTGAGAAAAAGCAAACAAACCCAAACTTCCTGGAGAAAGCTTGACTTAAATCAACAACTGAAAAGAGGGAAAGGGAAGTTAAAATTTTTTTTAACTTCTATTGTGTTTATACCAGGAACCAACTCATTGTACATATATTAATGCATATATACATACATAAAAAGGGGAAGCAAAAAGGAAAAATTTAATTTTTTAAACAAAACTTTTTATTTCATTCTTTTCTTTCAGTAATTCTTATTTTTAATTGAAGTGTAGTTGACACACAATGTTACATTAGTTTCAGGTGTATAACATAGTGATTCAACAACTCTATATTATGTCTATATTATGTGTACACCACAAGTGTAGTTACCGTCTGTCTCCATACAATGCTATTACAATGACATTGACTATATTCCCCATGCTGTATCTTTTACCCCCATGACTTATTCATTTCATAAAGGAAGCCTGTATCTCCCACTCCCCTTCACCCATACTGCCCATCTCCCTACCCCTTTCCCCTCTGGGAACTCTCACCTTGTTTTCTGTATTTATAGCTCTGATTCAGCTTTTTATTTGTTTGTTTATTCATTTGTTTCACTTTTAAGATTCCACATGTAAGTGAAATCATATGGTATTTATCTTTCTTTGTCTGACTTATTTCACTTAGCATTTATAATTTCTAGGTCCATCAATGTTGTCACAAATTGCAGGATCTCATTTTTTTCCTGGCTGAGTAATAATATTCCATTGTGTGTGTGTATGTATTTATATATATGTGTGTGTGTGTATATATATATATGTATATATATATCTATATATCTATATATCTCTCTATATATCTTCTTTACCCAATATTATCTATTGATGGACACTTGGGCTGCTTCCATATCTTGGCTACTGTAAATAATGCTGCAATAAACATAGGAGTTTTTGAATTTGTCTGTTCATTTACTTTGGGTAAATACCCAGTAATAGAATTACTGGATTATATGTTATTTCTATTTTTAATTTTCCAAGGAAACTCTTTACTGTTTTCCATAGTGGCTGCATCAATTTACATTCCCACCGACAGAGTACAGGTCTCTCACCTCTTTCCCAACACCATTTGTTGAAGAGACTTTCCTTGCAGCTTAAAATTTTTTTTCTTTGTCACCATATTTTGCCATTTTAATTATAATGTCTTGGGTAGATCTGCTTTTGTTGATTTTGTCAGGGTTCTCTGTGCCTCCTAGATCTGGACATCTGTTTACTTCCCCAGATTAGGGAAGTTTTCAGCTATTCTCTCTTCAAATATATTTTCTGCCCTCCTTTCTCTCTCTTCTTCTGGGACTCCTATGATGCAAATGTTATTATGTTTGGTGGAGTCACTGAGTTCCTCAAGTCTATTCTTGTAATTCATAATTTTCTCTTTTTTTCAGCTTGATTACTTTCCATTACCCTGTCTTCTAGATCATTAGTTCATTCCTCTGCTTCTTCCAGCCTGCTGTTCATTCCATCAAGTGTGTTTCTCATTTTGTTTATTGAGCCCTTTATCTCTGCTATGTTATCCCTTATCTCTGTGTTAAGAGTCTAACTCATGTCTTTCACTCTTTTCTCAAGTCCAGAGAGTATCCTTATGTTCATTGCTTTAAATTCTCTATCAGGCATGTTACTTATATCTGTTTCACTTAGATCTCTGGCCATGGCCTTGTCCTGTTCTTTCATTTGGGACAAATTCCTCTCTCTTCTCATTTTGTCTAAGTCTCTGTGCCTGCTTCTCTGTGTTAGAAAAGTCAGCTACTTTTCCTGTTGTTGACAGTAATGGCCTTATTAAGAAGAGGACTTGTACCCTGCAGTGTAGTGTCTCCTGTTCCCCAGGGCTTGGCACTACAGGGAGTGTCTCCAATATGTGCTTCGTGTGCTCAGCAGTTGTGCCTTGGCTGCTTTACCCTTCAGGGCAGTCATCTGCAGAGGATGTCCTCGCCTGTTGTGGGCAATGTTTGGTCCCTGGCCTGAATGTGGTGGGTCTTAACTAGGTATGCTTGGTCTACTTGTGAAATGAGACCTGTCACTATTGCTGCTGGAACTGAGGTCCTGCAAAACTCCTGGGTCAGGAGACATGGTGTGGGCAGGGGTTTGGGCTGGTCTATCTGGGGGCGGGGGCCCTCCATGCTGGGACTGAGGCAAGCATGACTAAGAAGGGTGTTCCACCAGAGCATGAGGGTTGGGTCTTGGTTTTAGCAACTTAGGTAGTGAGTGCCCATTCTGCCCTGGTTCCTGCAGGCAGGTCTATGTTTATGCTGAGGGGTGTGGGACGGAAATGGTGCCTGCCAGTTCCTTTGTTCCTGGAGGGGTATCTCCATTAATGCTACCTCTCTGGGACATGATCTGAGATGAGCAAATAACCTCCCCACTGTTTGCCCTAGGTATTTTTCAGATTGCTGTTTCCACACTGTATGTCTGCAGGCTGTTTGCTCTGCCTTCTCTCCAAGAGCAACTCTAATGCCTCTGGGCTCTCCCTGAGCAAGCCCAATGACCTTTAGAACTCCAGGCTTTAAGCCCCACTGGTTGCAAAACTCACAAAATTTGGCCCCTCTCACTTTCCAAACCAATTTTTATGGGGATTCATTTTCTCCTTGCATTCCCCTGTATGTTAGTTTGTCCCTTGCCGTTCTTCACAACTGTGACTCCCTCCCCACTGCAGCAGCCATGATCTGTTTCTCTCCCAAACCATGTCTCTGCACTTCCTACCTTCTTCAGTATGGCCTCTTCTCTACCTTTAGTTGTGGAGTTTGTTCTTTCAGTCTTCAGGTTGATTTCTGGGGTATTTAGGATGATTTGATAGTTATCTAGCTGTATTCACAGGATGAAGTGAACCTAGGGTCATCCTACTCTGCTGCCATCTTCTTGGACTCCAAGTTGTAGATATTAATTCCTTATCGGATATATAATTTGCAAATATCTTCACTAGGTTGCCTTTTTAAAATTTTATTTGCTATGCAAAAGTTTTTTATTTTCATGTAGTCATTTACTTTTGCTTTTGTTTCCCTTGCCTGAGGAGACATAGCCATACATATGTTGCTAAGGCTGATGTCCAAAAATGCACTGCTTACATTTTCCTTTAGGAGTTCTATGGTTTCCAGCTTCACATTTAGGTCTTTGATCCATTTTGAGTTTGTTTTTGTGTGTGGTGTAAGAAAGAGGTCCAGTTTCATTCTTTTGCATGCAGCTATCTAGTTTTT